CAAACACATCTTACCAGCAAACATACACTCGTTTTCATCCTTCTCTCCACTCTCTGAGGCAGAAGTCTCTAAACTCCTTTCCAATCATCCTACTACTTGTCCGCTTGAACCTATTCCATCTCATCTCCTTCAAGCCATTTCTCCTGCCGTTGTACCTGCACTCACTCACATCGTTAACACATCCCGAGACTTGTCATTTGCACTTATATATTGTTGCTCTTTTGTTAGTTTTGACTGCTTTTATTGTCCTCATTTGTAAGTCGCTTTGGATAAAAGCGTCTGCTAAATGACTAAATGTAAATGTAAAACACTTGCTGCCATTGAGGTGGGATACAGGTAAGGTTAGGTGTAAGGGATGGGTCAACAGTGTAATTATAAATGTAATTACATGCAGATATTTTTTTTAAATACAAGTTCAATGTAAAACATGTATTTGTACGCAATAAGTGCATTGTACCAAATAATTAATTTAAACGTAAGTACATAGTATTTAAGGCCACTGAATATATTATATGTGATTACAGATTAATTTAAATTAATTCCATACAAGTTTCAATAAAAATTACATAGTATGTTTTGCTTTGTCCTACATTCTTGTCAGAAGATTTAGCAGTGCACTTTTAACATACTTGGAGTTACAGTATATTGAGTCAGCCAAAGACCACAAACCACACATGCCTTGACGTGTATTTTGTTTACCCTTTCCATAAGTGATGATGTAATCTTTTCCACAAATCCGCTGGCAAAACATGCACTGGGGAGTTCATATGTTGAGCCAAACAACAAATGTATTTCTTCGTTTGTTTATTTGATTGATCTCTTCCATTTCTACCATTCTTCAGTTTAATAGAGCTGGAAGGGCTCGAACCTTACGCTCCACTTTCTTGTAGTACTTGTCTGAGAGCCCAGCTGCCCTGCAGTCAAAAGCAAAAAAGTGATTGTGTTAATGATTTTAAGATTGATGTGACCGTTGCATGACCTCAACAAAATCTCTCTCTGGGAACTAAGAAGGATATGAGTCTGCAGCACATGATTCAACTATACAAGAAACTTTTGTGAGAGAAAGTGAGTTTCTCTTTAACATGACCCCTATCATACATTCCTACAGTATGAATGTCTTTGCAATTACATAAAAAGCCTCAACTGGCAGAAATATTGTGCAAACACACTTCCCTTACTGTTTTTGTACAGCAAGCGGATTTCTCTCTGTTTACCCACTTAGGAAGCATGTAGGGGACCACAGATTGAAATACTAAAAGTAATTTCTTCACACAAAGCAGTTTCAAATATTATGACACAAGATATTTTGGCCATTAGAATTGTTCTTACTTGCAAGCCCATTACCAACAGCCCTGAATGCAATGACAATTCTTGTACGTAATGCAATGAAATTCATATATTTTAAAATATGTCGTAAGTGTCTAAACCACTGATCTATAATAGAGAACTGGATTGCTCATGACGTCATGAAAGTGAAGCCGCCGTGCTGCCATATTGGTATTCCCCAGTATTCCCATATATTCCACTGAATTAATAGGAAAATGTGCGAATTTAATGAGAAAACATCACCTAACAAGTCAGCGTTTTTAAATCTGAAGTATCCCTGTACATTCTTACAATGCAAACACCCTAGGCGTGAACAGTTATTTTTTTAATGTCGGGAATTTCCCCTGCTTATTAAAAAGTTACGTTCATTACAGTAGCGAACATCAGATGAACATGATAAGAAGGAGTAACTTTTATTCTCGCTGTAGTATTATTGCCGCCGCCACCATGTTGTGGAGACGCTGTGTGTTTTGTTGTGAAAGCGAAACTACTTTGTTTGGCCTTCCAAAAGAGGATGATATCCGCTTCGTCATGCCTAGAGCTGATCCGTGCTGGTCGCTGAGGAAATACATCAACTTCGTGCTGTAGATCGCCGGATCGGCTTTCACCGTGGACGAAGCTGAGTCCAGTCCGGGGTCGTCACATGTGATTGCCGCAAGCCCGCCGTGTGTGACGCTTGTGAAAGCGAAACTACTTTGTTTGGCCTTCCAAAAGAGGACACGACTAGAAATCAATGGTTAAGTTGTATTTACAACACTGTTCCAGAACAGTTCAACCCAAATATTCAGATGTGTGCAGCGCATTTTATGGAGGACTGTTTCCTGATCCTGGGAGAGTAGACTACAATGCCGGCTGTTCTGACTCGAACACTTCCGGTGGCTTCACTGTCTGTCGGCAGTTTAGAACGCAATGAGCGATCCAGTCATTATATATAGATCAGTGGTCTAAACACTTCTTAGGCCACTGTGTCTTCTCTCCTGTATGTAATCAATAATTCTTTCTTTCGTTAATTATAAGTTTTTTTTATACTGTCTTTTATGTAATTTTCTATAGATTTTTTTTGTCTGATTGACTTTAAGGACATACTTGAGTTCCCTCAGCTTCTTTTCTTTCATCTCATCCAACCGGGCTCTGCGATTGCGCGCCTCTTCTTCCAGCCGCTCGCCCTCTTGGAACAGCTCTCTGTGCTGGGTGACGGCCTGCATCTCTCTCTCCCGTACCTGCTGCCTCACAGCCTCAGCATGCTTTTGGATTTTTCGATGCTGTTGCTCCTCTTTTTCTCGTTCTTTCTCAATGAGCTCCTGCTGTGCCCTGGAAAAACAGTATAGAGCATACAATCTTCAATGCTATCTTTGTCCTCTCTTTTTTAGTTAAGGTAATTAATTTTAATTGATTAATCCAAGGTAAAATGTTATATCGGTAATTAAAGTAAATTAAAGTTTGTAGATCATAGAGGTAATTGTTTAATTTTAAGGTTGACTCACTGGTTTTTGTTATGCTTATTAGTTACACACTGTACAAGTTTGTTAAAAAGTGAGATGTAAGCAAGTTAAACATTTATTATTTACTGAGAGATCTAATGATGCAGACAAGACATCCTGTTAATGGTTTTGGGAATTAGACAACTTTGCTGACTTAAAAAAAGAAAAAAAAAAATCAGGCGTCTGGGGCTGGATCTTTTGTATCTAGTGTGGAGGCATGACCTAACATAATAACATTACATATTTAATATTCGACAACTGTGTTACAACAGAAATGTTAAACAACCAACAGTAATATCCAGGGAAACTAACAACTCAACCGTTTTCAGCATACTAGGCAAAAGATTAAGAATGATTGTATTGTGAAATTTTATGCTATCTTTGCTGAAGTTTCCTGATAGACTTTCAGTAATTTCACTCTTTATACTCAGACCTACACTAGAACACGATAAAACATGTAGCTTTGACAGTTGTTTATAGGTTGTGATTAGTACAGTAATTTAGATAATTAAAATAAAAATATTTTCTGCAAATGGATCAAATGTTTTAATGTATTGTATTTCTTAACCTTTTTCCTTTATTAGTCTAATACCAGTTTCCTTTATTTTACTCTTTTTGACAAGAAACCCCCAAGTGCAGCTTTTGTGCATGACATATGTCAATGGCTGGTCTCTGCACAAAATTTGAAGGGATGACCTAAAAATGCTGTTTTCATTCTATTATCATTTACCTTTTAACATTTGTTTTCATTCCAACCCCAAATGCTATATTTCATTCATGACCATGTGTTTACTGTTTGTTACTGACACAGACAAAAATGAAATGCACACATGTAGATCATGTGAATCAAAAATTTCAATGCCCCTGTGTGCCCATGAACCACCCTAGCAAGCTGAGGACCTCAATGTTTCTAAAACCCTGTGTACGGCCATGCTAATAGTGTGGTTTTTGTACCTCAGGACCCTCTCAAACTCTGCTCTCTCTCGTCCAGCTTCAATGGACAGCAAGTGCTCCTTGTGAGTGACTTGCTCCAAACGAGCAGCCTTCAGCTTCTCTTCTACTTACAGCTTTCTCCGAGTCTGCTCTTTTTCTTTTCTTATCTATTCCCTTGCAGCCGCTTCTTGGTTCCTCCGTGCCCTGATGTCATCCTGACAGTTCAAAGAAAAACTCATTTATTTGAATCCAGAATGTAAATTTCACTGCCTCCAACATGGATCAGCCAACAAATAAGCTTTATGCTTTATTAAATTGGTCATGTTAATGTATTACGCCATCATGGGTATACAAGAGGATACTTCTAATTATATGCATTTAGTACATTTTTTATGAGGATGTAAGATTTTACCTGCTCAGCTTTATGGTCTCTGTCCCTTTCTTGAAGAACTCTCAGTCGCGCCACTTCCTTCTTTGTCTTTCTTGATTTGTATCTGCTCAGCTTCATACTCTGCCTCTCGTTCCTAGAGTTCAAACACATGCTTTTTCTTTCTTACTTAAACATATTGGTGGTTATTTGTTTTGTGTTGGTATACTCATACATTGTGTCAATATCACAAAAAAACAAATAATAGCCTAAATAAATTTTAAAAAGCTAACTGAAAATTAGTAAACAGTCAGCGATTAAATAAAAATAAGAAATTACAAGCAATAGGACTAAAAAAAAATACAGTAGAACAAATAAGAAATGCTACATACATTGTATAAAGTAATCAAATGTATAAAAACGGCATATTCTTCACTGTGTAAATTAAATATATTACTTCCTATTACAGTTAAAAAGTGATTTAGCTGTCACTTTAAGATCTGCTTGGATCCAATATTACACGTGTTTTCTTTCTCAGCTGTTTGCTTTTACTTAAGACCTATATTACCGTATTTACAAGGATACTTGCAAAAACAGGCATTTTGACACATGCAAGTGTGTGTATTTAACCGTTCAAGGCCTATAAAGCGTTCAATACTCCCGTGCTCTATGAGCGCTCGTAAACAGCAGACAGCATGCGCATAGCCTATATTGAAATGCGGTCTGTTTCGCTGCTGATTGCTTTTCAATGGCTTAAAATAACTTGTGTAAACTGCACTGCTTAAAACTGCCATATTACAACTGTTGCAGTGTCCATAGAACTTTTGTATTCTCAAAGTCTAGTGATGCTGCTTTGAGTCTGCTGTGGAGCTTGTGTTGGTAAAAAAAAATTTTTTTTTAAATGCACATCGAGGGTTCATAGCAGCCTCATACAGGGCATTTGACTGTGGGGTCGGCTCACATCGGCAGCATCACACCAAGCCGACGCTCGACACCCGACGGCCAAGTAGCACGTATGGCGGCAATTCTATGCCATTAATAACCGAGCGCACCACTGATGCTGGCGCGCGCGGTAAATCAATTCCGCGAGAGGAAAACAGATTTACACGCGAGGAAACGAGAGCTCGCGAGCTCATTTCAAACCCTCGCGCGCGCGTGACGTCCTCTGCGCGCAATACAAGCCCTCGCGCGCTCATGCGAGCAGGTGAGGGAAGATCGAGCGTGAGGATGTGGGGACTGATCATGCGCGCGCGAGGGCTTGTATTGCGCGCGGAGGACGTCACGCGTGCGCGAGGGTTTTAAATGAGCTCGCGGGCTCCCGTTTCCTCGCGTGTAAATCTGTTTTCCTCTCGCGGAATTGATTTACCGCGTGCTCCAGCATCAGTGGTGCGCTCGGTTATTAATGGCATAGAATTGCCGCCATATTAGCACGTCCGTTCTGCGTTTTTTCTCGTGCACTGGTTCGCCAGCTGAACAGCCAATCAGAATGATCAGATGGCCTGACTGACCGACAAGCTCCGACGCCGATTCAACATGTCGAATCGGCTGAAAAAAAGCCAACGAGGACCAACGTCAGCCGACGGTGCAGAACACACTGAGAAAACTTAGTCGGCTGATGAACAAAAACTGCCCGATGGCCGACCGTCGGATTGGTGTGTTCCGGGCCCTGGGGTGTGTTCCCCTAGAGTTTACAACACGGAGAAACGAAACCTGGCCAAAAAGAGGAAGTAATCTCATGAAAGAGAAATTGATCTTACTTCAAATAGACCCGTTAACCTTGTAATTGCAAACAATTAGGCTACATTCATTTATGTAATTTATATGTATATTAAAAGCCTATTTAGTTCCCCTCACTCTACAACAAATATACTTCACTCATGTTCTAATATCCGTGTAAAGTCCTTCACATGCTCAAAAATGTTTGGGCGCTGCACACTGATTTTACAGCGGACCTTTTAAAATAAACAGTGTAACTTTTATGTTTGGTTGACTGCAGTTTTAGCTTGATGATGAATGGCTGAAATGTCAGGCAACGGTAGAACTAATTTTGTTAGTGTGTGCGTGAGGTGCCTGTGCGATCAGATGAATTAAATCAAATAAAGATATAAATAAAATGCAAGTGTCACAAAAATTAGCGTAGCCTATACTTGTTGCACAGTGTTTTTTTCCCCCCTTTTGTTAATCTGTTAATTATAGCCTATAGCTATTATATATTTTGTGTAATCCTATTTATTTTATTCCTTTTATAGACTTCATTTCTGTTTTTCTCCTTTCACATTAGCGCTGCAGGTGCATGATGCGACGATTGAATCCTCATGGTCTTGTTTATGCTGCTATTCGCGCATATAAAGCTAATAGCCCTGTCTAAAACCAAAAAAAAAAAAGACATTCTAATCTTACTGGTTTAACGATCGACTAATGAGCTTAGTTTGACGGTCAGGAAAATAAAAATAAACAAAATGCTGTCATTCTACAATTCTCCACCATATTTATGCTGCGCGCAAGTTCAGGTAACTCAAAAACTTGCGTACACGAGATGAGACCAGACGTGAGATTTGATCGTAGCCACCGCTCACGTCCATATTGATAAATTCCAAGTTTTGCGTTGAAACGACCGTATGCCCAATTTTCGGTCATACGTTCGTTTCGTAAATGAGGCCCAGTAAGTTTTACTCCAGCATTATCTACAATTTTCAGGAAAAAGAAAATCCTCTCCAGGTCAAAATGGTCAGAACACCACATGAGGGTTAAAGCCACAGATAAACACTACTATTATTTGAAAAAGAAACAAAAAAACATAATTTGATGTTCACATGCCCATCATGAACTCACAGAAAACTAAATGTGTACCACACATCCAACCATTATCCAAACATCATGTCCTGTTATAGGGTTCCATGGATTCTGGAGCCTGTTGTTTAAAAATTTTATTGTCTTTGTAAGGGTTTGCTGCCACCACCCTTTAATTTTTTAAGCCAGTATGGTCTGGCAGAAGGACATACCACCATCACAACCTTATACCAAAATTAGTATATTTAATTTTGTATCCCTGTGTGCAACAAAACAATATGGCGTGTTTGCTGCCAAAGGCTCTTTTTTTTTTTCATCTGCCCACAGAGTCTACTCCTGTTTATGTACCAATAGTGTCTGGCAACTGAATATGAGTTTAAGAGTCAAAGTCCAGACCTCATCCTGACTGAAATGCTGTGGATAAACTTGCAAAGCTGTGCTTATATATATATACATATATATTACGGATGCACCGATACCACTTTTTCCAGTACTCGCCCGATACCGATACCAGACTATTTTTTCGGAGAAGCAAGAATTTTTTTTTTTAAAGCACAGAGAATGACAATGCCGTGAAGGGTTTCTGCAGGATTTTTAAGCTCAAATGTAAGACTTTTAAAGACCTTTTTTAAGACCTGCACAAATAAAATTAATACCATATGAGCGGGGTAAGGCAATGTCTATAGTAACATATTAAACTGTAAAATGACTGTAAAAAGCAAGATTTACAGTTCAGATAGCCTACAGGTTTTCACAAAAAATATTAAAAAAAAAAATGAAATAAAATGTCAAATTTCAGCCTTTCAAATTTCAAACCACTTTTAAGAAAATAGTCAAAAATCAAATTTATCAATTATTATATTAATGGTTTAATGGCTAGTTTAATATCAATTATTTTAAACCAGCAGAAGGGCTGTTAAAAAATGCAAATTCATTCTCTGCCAGCAGGTGGCGCTTTCAGAACTGCATGAAACAGGGCAGCGCTCATA